TGCCACTGTATGGGTAGAGGCTGCTCTGCAACGCGCATGAAGATAAGCGAGGCGTATTCACATATGTACGGCGTTCTGTACTGAAGCTAGCTGGAGGAACATTGGAAAACACAATTCAATCCACTAATAGCGATCATCTGATGTTTTTGTACGACAGATATACAGCGATTCACTGTACGAAAAAATCTCAAAAGTGTCCCCAAAACTTCTCGCTCCATCGCCCCCCATACTGCCCCCTTTTCATTCCTTCACCCCCACGTCGCTCCTTTTCATTCCATCGCCCCCTTGAAAAACAAAATCGCCCCCTGGGGGGCAATATCGCCGAGGTTAAGAACCACTGCACAAAACCATGCACTCTCGGTCCACAGAAAAACCTCACTCCACGGAACCGGTGATCCCTGGTGCCCAAAAGGTTGGGGACCTCTGATCTACAGAGCCTTCCAATTTTAAAGCCGTTTTCTTCTCAGCTCCTCAAACATCTGGAAGAGCTTTTCAAAACGTACTCAGAAGATAAGAACTTTCTGGAGAGAAAGCCAGCAAAGGAACCTGCCAACCTTTTACCATGGACAGTTCCTATTTCCAATCTCTGAGAAATCCCCCCCCCCTTTCTGATAGCATTTAGCATTATATTTTTATTTCGTGTGCCCTTATATTGAAGCATAATTCCAGATCTAATGAGTCCTTCCCAAGGACCTGGGATAGGTAGATGTGGATGTTTGATGGTATTACAGATATCGTCTCAGGATGGAAGCAGTTCCTAGTAAGGCCGCCTTTTGCAATTGACTAATGGCGAATTTGTCAATGCCAATGGTGTTCAAGTGGTGCTCCAGTTGTTTTGGGATTGCACCCAAGGAGCCTATGACTATTGGTACTACCCTTGCTTGCTTTTGCCACAGTCTTTCTATTTCTATTTGTAGGTCTTTGTATTTTGTTATCTTCTCCAGTTCTTTCTCATCTATTCTGCTGTCTCCAGGCACTGCCACATCTATTACTATTATTATTATTATTATTATTATTATTATTATTATTATTATTATTTACAAATCTCTTTGCATCGAAAGAAGAAAGCATTTCTCGTGTTAAAGAAATAAAACCACTCAGATGAGACAACCCCAACCATTTTTAATGAGGGGTGCCACCCAAACTAAAAAAATAGTAGGTTCGTTGGTTGAATTTATTATGGTAAGTAATTCCCACATTATGCATTTGGATTATGATGGGCGGATTTTTAACTGTTTTTCGGAATGCAGACTGAGACAGATTTCAAAGTAATTTGCATTTTCTGCATGAGATGCAGCCCAACGCAATTGCTAAGAAGTAGAAACAGCCTGCCCATCTGTAGTAACTCACAGTTTACTCTCTCTGTTTGTGAGACAGAAAAAAGAAGAAGGGGGAAAAAAACACTAAACACTTGCAGATTTACTCTGGCACCGAACACCCGTGTCTCTACTGCAACATACTTCTGAGTAAAAGAGAATAGGGTTTTAAGAGATGGAAAATCCAATTTTGGAATCAAAGAGGTGTTGCTGTTTTAAGCTGGAATGCTTTTTCCTCATTCAATCACCGTGTTGGAAACAGCTAAGTTTAGAATTAAACACTGCCTACATTATACCAAGGTGAAGGACCATTTTAATCACAAATAAACATGAAAGGTCAGCCTTCCCCCCTTTCTTTCTCAATAGAGCTGGCATCCTATGCATTTGGTGGAATATTGCATCCAATTTTGGATGCAATATTTATATATATAAATGTATAAACATATAAACATTTATATATATATAAATGTTGAGAGTGAGAGTCCTGAAAGAGTGCAGAGAAGAGCAACAAGGATGATCAGGGGACTAGAGGCTAAAATGTATGCTGGAATTGGGTATGTCTAGTTTAATGAAGAGAAGGACCAGGGGTGACATGATAGCAGTCTTCCAATCTCTCAGAAGCTGCCCCAAAGAAGAGGGAGTCAAGCTATTCTCCAAAGCACCAGAAGGCAGGACAAGAAACAATGGATGGAAACTAACCAAAGAGAGAAGCAACCTAGAACTAAGGAGAAATTTCCTGACAGTGAGAACAATTAATCGGTGGAACAACCTGCCTCCAGAAGTTGTGGATTCTTCATCACTGGAGGCTTTCAAAAAGAGATTGGACAGTCATTTGTTTGAAATGGTATAGGGTTTCCTGCCTGAGCAGGGGGTTGGACTAGAAGACCTTTGAGGTTCCTTCCAACTCTGTTATTCTATTCTATTCTATTCTATTCTATTCTATTCTATTCTATTCTATTCTATTCTATTCTATTCTATTCTACTCTACTCTACTCTACTCCCTTCCAGCTCTATTCTATTCTATTCTATTCTATTCTATTCTATTCTATTCTATTCTATTCTATTCTATTCTATTCTATATTCTATTCTATTCTATTCTATTCTATTCTATTCTATTCTATTCTATTCTATTCTATTCTATTCTATTCTATTCTATTCTAATTCCATTACATTCCTCTATTTCTATACTATTCTATTCTGATGGTAATGTAGGTTATTTTACTTAAATAAACTAAAGCCAATCCTTCTCTTGCACACACTGACTCCCTCATTCTGTTGAAGAAAACCCTGGACAATTGCCCCAGACTCCTACCTTGATAGCACCCGTGGGGGAAGAAGGCATTTAATGAAAACCATAAGACCCACTTCCTTTCTTCTTCTCATTTTTTTTTAAAAAGCTATGTGTAGCCAAATACTCCAACCGCACAACCTCTCAAAAAAAATAGCTAAAGGGGGTCCTAACCAGTAAGACAGCAGGCGGTGGCGGGTGTGTGTGTGTGTTTGTGTGTGTGTGTGTGTAAACCGGCCAACTATTCTTTCCTTCCCTCGGCCTCCTGTTCTTGAAGTCCCAATTTGCTTGAGGTCCCAGAATGTCTTACACGGCCTCCCCTTTCAACTGTAGCTTGGGGTTTTTTTGTCTATGTTTGTGTGTGTGTTTTTGCAAAAAGGTCTCTGGAGCCAACTCAGCTCCGAGCCCTGTTGCAATGCCTCACAGTTTTTGTTTTGTTTAATTTTCGACCTCCGTCTCATGAAACAAAGGTCAAAGCAAACTTTTGTTGGAAACTCTCGGACTGGAGTGACGGTCTTCGGCTTCCTTACTTGCGTGTGTTGTGCGTAGATGTGTGTGTGTGTGTGTGTGTGTGTGTGTGTGTGTGTTCCTCTATAACAGCACCAAAACAGAGAGCAGGGTGTCTTGCCCCTCTTGAAGTTGGCTGCTTCAGTTCTCTGGGAAAAAAATGACTTTTGATCAGAATGGAGAGAAAGGAGATTTCTTTGAAAACCAAGAAGGAGAGGGCTAGTTTCAAGAAAGCTACCTAGAATATTTTCTGGCGTTTCCGTGAAAAAACCTGCTTCAGGCACATTCTTGGAGGCACAAGACAGCCAAGCACAACTAAGGGTGAAGGGAAATGGGGGGGGGGCAAAAACAACACTGGATGATTCTTCCAAGGAGAAGCTATCCAAAGGAGACCAGAGAAGTAGTTATGAAATCAGAGAGCTGAAGAAAATAGAAGGAACGTGTTAATAGTCTTCCTCGTGCAGATTTTGGATTCTGACTGTGGTCAACTAGAGTTCTGCAAGAAGCTCATACACACACACACACACACACACACACACAAAACCACATGAGAAGGTAACCCAGTTTTTTTTTCCCAGGTTGCCAGCTAGGACCACATAACCCCCCCTCCCCCCAAAAAGGGGGTTTTGCAGCTTGGAGACTGAGTAGATAAAAGGGCATTGAGAGAGAGACTCCCAAAGCAGTGAAGATGTCCAAGCAAGATTTTTTAAGGTAAACAATGCCTCTAAGTTCTTTGAAGAGTTCCATCTGTTGGAACCATGACATTAGAGTCTAGAAAACAGGGGAAGAGAAGTCTTCCCTCATTTTATGACCACCTGGAGCCATTGTTCATTCTGGACAGATGTGGGGGAAAAAAGGAAGCGGTACTTTACATCATGCATGAAGAATCCAGTACCGTCAGATGCTGTGATGGACACCAGCTGAGATGATAACTGGATTAAATTCACAGAGTATCAAGCTACTAGCAGGCTACTAGCCTCGGTTACCCAAAACAGGGTAAGAGATTTACTGCTCCACTCTCTTGTGTCTGAGAGTTCCTGGGTGCAATTACTTGGTCGGCTACTGTGCAACAAAGGATGGTGGATCAGACAAACCCTGGGCCCAAACCAGCCTTAGGTGTATACGTGCACAACTCAGAAGTAGCAATAAGCAGGCACAAGTAGAAGGACAAGTTAACATCTCTGGCTCACAAAAGATTTCTCTGTCCAGTTGTGTCTAACTCTAGGGCACATTGCTCATCTCCGTTTCTTGGCCAAGAGATCCAGCATTGTTCAAAGACAATTTCTGTGGTCATGTGGCCAAAGGCGCTCAGAATTCTGTTACCTTCCCACCAAAGTGGTACCTATTAATCTACTTGCATTTTCATGCTTTTGAACTGCTCGGCTGCCAGGAGCTGGAGTAAGGAATGGGAGCTCACCCCCATCATGCGGGTCTCGGGTCTTGAACCAGGGATGTGACAAGCTCACTGAACCACCGCCTGCCCGCTACTCATAGAACTATAACATGCAAAATCTTAAAAGAGGGGTGGTTAAATAGGTGTTCAGTGTTAGAAACAGCTAGGGGTCGTTCCTGATTGGGTGGTAGACAGGCATCATGAATGAAAATGAATGAATGAATGAATTAGCTGTGAGAAAACAAATAAAGCCTGCCTCCTCATACAGGCAAATCCAATCATGAAAAACACCATCCTGTTTTAATCTAGCTCTAACGAACTATGCAAATCCAGCTTAATTAATGCGCTCGTCTGTCTTCTGCCTGAAAGTAGTAGCAAATCCTTCAAAAATCATCAGTCGTTGCACGTGGAGGCCCCCAGGGTCTCGAGGTGATATACAGGGCTGTCCAAACGTTGTTCACCCCAGAAATACACTGAGTGCCCCAAGCATGCTTACTTGATTTGCTGCTGGCTGACCTGCTACCACCGTAGCTGGGCACTTCTCGTTATAGTGTGAAACCGACACGTTGGATGCCCACTGGTCCAGGAACCCTTTGGGTGTGTAGATCCCACAATCCGCGATGCTGGTTGTCTGCTCAAACTCTTCGCACACGCCATCCCCGTCGTGGAAGTAGCAACGGCTCGGCTCATCTGTAGGAAAGAGAATCGCATCACGTCAAGGCAGAAGCAAGCGCCAACTCTTGTCAGATGTGCCATCCCTGTTTAGCAAGATGCCAGGCTGTCATGAGAAACAGAGGGGAAGGGAGGTGTGGGGTGGGCTGAAGTGGGGGAACAGAGGGAAAGAAAGTGAAAGTCTTCGTACCACCCCATAAGAGCCATGGGCTGCTCCGAGCTCACCCAATGGAATGCAACACGTTCAAGCCCACTCAACTGGAGACTGTTACCAAAGTAATTAGTCTGAATACCATTGGGCACCCATGATAACTATGGGGAGGGGCGACGGGAACCAAGGAAGAAGGTTAACTGCTTGTTTGGGGTACGAAACACCAGATTTGGCTTTGCTAATACTGTAACCACTTAGATAAGGTAAACCTTTATTGCCATTTTTTTACTGTGAGCACACAGCACACATCAAAGATTAAATTCCGTTGCCCTCTCTCAAAAGAAAGTATATATCTATCCATACACATACATGACACATATATACACATGCTATATACATACATATATATTAATCACTGTGCATCTTGAATACATAGTGGAAGGAGGAAGCTTGAGAGTTGGAATAAAACGGTGGCTGAATCTGAATGTTCTGCTTTGGATATCACGAAACCCCCTCCTCCCAGAAGGTAACAAGGAAAACAGGTCATGGAGAGGATGTGCAGCATCCCCGACAATCTTGTGGACCCTGCTCAAGCAACGCATATGTGCTATGTCCTGGATAGAAGAGAGGGAACTGCCAATGGTCTTTTCAGCTGTCCTTACCACTCTCTGCACTGCCTTCCTGTCCGAAGCAGTGACGCTTCCAAACCAGACAGTAATGCCATATGACAGGATGCTCTCGATCGTCCCTCTATAGAAAGTGGTGAGGACAGGAGGAGGAAGATGTGCTTTATCTCATGCGATGGCAGAAAAGTATTTGGCTTTAGTAAAGTATACTTCCACTAGCTATGAGCCTGGGAGTCGTTCTTTTGTATTAACCAAGTTGGGATGGCTGATGCCTCCTCCTCTCCAATGCCCAAGGGTGGCACACAGTGCAACTCGGCAAACCAATGTCAACGGTGTCTTTAGAAAAGCCAAGATCTTGCCCTGGAACTAAATTATGCAAATGAGAAACATTTGCACAGATTAACTCCTCTGGCAACAAGCCCTCAACTTCCATCTCGGTCTGGTTTTCATCATGCTGTTCTCCGCCACCCCTTTCTTCTAGTCAAAAGGCTGGGTTGGCAGAGGGCAAGGAGACAGAGAGAGGAACAGTGAATTGCTAACACATGTATCCGAGGCCAGTTGTGAACCACACGTTTTCACAAGCCTGTCAGCAACTTCAAGCGTATTGTCACATAAAATGTGACCACCACTTGGCCCTGGCTCTCACACACTTCATCCCTGATCAGTGGCCGTATGTTATTAGATGAGTTTTGTTTTGGCCGTCCAAACATCTGGATTCATCTAGGGGAACGTTCCACCAATTTCAACCCACTTGGGGAATTGCCCAAAGTTTATCTACTCAGACTTGGAAATAGTCCTTCTGTTGGGGGAACGACGTTTCCAAGATCAAACCTGGAACCTTCTGCATGAGAAGAATGCCTCTCTCATCCATATAGTCCATGCTTGGAACACTCCAATGACCTCTTTTGGGGGGTCTCAACATTGAAATGACTTGGAATCTTCTGCAGATAAGATCTATCAGCAATGGGCAATATTGTATTAATATAGCTAATTACTTAATTACGATTTAGCACAAGGAGCACCATTACGAGGAATCCTTGGTGCTGTGTGATCCTGGTGGTTTTCTTGCAGATGTGTCATTATCCAAGCTATGTAATGTCATCAGTGTTAGAAAGGAGCATGGTTTGTGGAGAGGAGGAGGAGGAGGAGGAGGAGAACTACTGTGGGGTCCTTGGTACTCTCTGAGCTTGGTTGTTTGCTTGCAGATGTTTCATTACCCAACTAGGTAACATCATCAATGCTAGAAGGGAATGGGGTCTGTGGAAAGGGAGAAGAAGACGACGAGGAGGAGAACTACTGTGGGGGCCTTGGTAGTCTGTGAGTTTGGTAGTTTCCTTGTGGACGTTTCATTACCCTCCTTTCATTCATCAGGAAGGAGTTGGCTGTCTTAGCGCTAATGGTGTCACCTAGTTGGGTCATGAAATGTCTGCAAGAAAACCATCAAGCACAGAGAGCACCAAGGACCCCTCATTTCAACCCTGAGCTACAAAGCTAGAAACCCAAGACATTGTCTTGAACCCAAACTATTTGCCCCCTCTATTCTAGAAGAGTTTCTTGTAGTTTACAGCTGTTCCCCAGGTGAAAAAGGAGACAGGTCCTCTCCATCAACACAACTGGAGTTTTCCATGAGCTACAGATTTGCTACCTCCAGAAGGAACAGGCTGTTCTTGCCCTCAGCGCATCCCCATTGTCAGTGTTCTCTAAATGTGACCCTAACATTCCCAGGAGACTTCTTAACCAGTGGCTTATAGTCATGCATCTGTATCTTGACACACAAACTTGTATGAAACCAAGAGAAGTAAACAAAAATAAACAGTGCGGGGTTAGAAAATAACAACAAAGCGAACGAAGAGTTGGCTGAGGGCAACGGATTTTGGTGGCCTGGTGTCAGCCAAGAAACTCCAGGCTCCAGTGTCATCCCTTATTTTGTTCTACCACGATACTTGCGAAACACCAAGTTTAGTGAGGACAAAGTCTTAGTAATTGGAAGCCTCTATTTATCCCACATGCAGCCTGTGTGGGAAAAGGGAGGAGGGGAAGGAGAGGAAAACAAGCTTGAATGAGACACCGAGAGCTAAACGGGAAGGATAGAGAGCAGAGAAGAATTGTGCTGCTTCCATGGTCCTGCAGAGGTTCCATCCCTTTGCCTCTTAAACAGATTTTTTCCAGACCTGGAACCCGATAATTATGAATCCCAACATCTCTTGAACCTCAGCAAAGCTTTTGTAACAGAGCTGGGCCAGCTGCCTTTCTTTGTGTGTGTTTGTTTCCTTTGTTAAGAATGTCCTTCACTAAAAGATGAAGGAGGGAAGGAAGGAAGGAAGGGAGGGAGGGAGGGAGGGAGGGAAGGAGGGAGGGAGGGAGGGAGGGAAGAAGGGAGGGAGGGAGGGAAGGAAGGAAGGAAGAAATAAAGAAGGAAAGAAGGAAGGGAGGGAGGGAGGATGGAAGGAAGGAAGGAAGGAAGGAAGGAAGGGAGGGAGGGAGGGGAGGGGAGGAAAGGAGGAAGGGAGGGAGGGAAGGAAGGAAGGAAGAAATAAAGAAGGAAGGTATGGAGGGAGGGAGGGAGGGAGGGAGGGAGGGAGGGAGGAAGGAAGGAAGGAAGGAAGGAAGGAAGGAAGGAAGGAAGGAAGGAAGGAAGGAAGGAAGGAAAGAAGGATATCTTTACAAGAACATTTGGAATTGTTCTCCAGCCATCAAAACACTGTCCTTGTTTTGCTGGTTTGAAGATGCCTGCTCAAATTTGTTTGAGTAACTCAATATCTCTGGTGGGCAGGATCAGAACAGACTGGACGGTTTTCTCCCCCCTTCTGCCTTCCTTCAAAACTGGAATGTTTATTTATTCCCTAAGTGCCATGTCACCCCGACCTCCTTGGACATCCCCAAAGCTATAAAAACCCAGATTCTTTCCTCGGATCCTGCAGCAGGATGGCTGGGTCTGTTCCCTGGGGATGCTTATGGTTCTCCCCCATGTGCCGTGTACTCATTCAGCCTCTTTGCTCTGTTTGTTTTTAACTGGGTTTTTTTTTTCTCTCCAGATGTTGTAATCTTATTGTGTAAGCCACCTAGACTCGCCCCTCGATGGAGGCCACCGGCGAGTTGGGAAATAAATAATGGAGACAAACTTGATCAAAACAAAGGAAAGGAATGGGTGGTGTGTGTTTTTTCTTTTCTTTTCTTTTCTGATTCACCTATATAATCAGAGAAGCCAGGGCTTCCAACATCTCCTGGTGAGTGACAGCAGCTCTTCTGTTCTGTCTCTCTTCCAGGAAAGTAACTCCCCCACTCCTTCTCTTTGCTGACATTTCTTCTCAAGTTATACTGTGAAATAACATTGGGAGCGCCAGAATAAATTAGATCATTACAATTCAATTACTTAATAACTCCGCCTCTCTCTCTCTCTCCCTCTTTCTATCCTTGCGGCCTGCAGTTCCAATTTCTTAATAGCGCCGAGCTGTTGAGAAAGAGAAACTCAGAAGAATATAGACTGCCAGGGTTTGTGAAGCCTACAGAGAAAGGACTCTTAATCCACACACATTCATACACCACGTGGCTCACAAAGAACACAGGGAGAAAGAGGACACTTCTCCTTGTCTTGGGAAACTCCAACTGCTGAAGATGCGTTTAAAACAAACAAACAAAAAAAAAACAGAAACAGAAAACAAATGTGACAGAACTAAGGAGAAATTTCCCAACGGTGAGAGCAATTCACCGGTGGAACAGCTTGCCCACCAGACGTTGTGGGTGCTCCATCACGGGAGGGTTTCAAAAAGAGACTGGGCAACCATTTGTCTCAAATGGTATAGGGTCTTCCCGCTCGAGCAAGGAGCTGGACTAGATGACCTTCGAGGTTCCTTCCAACTCCGTTATTCCATGTTGCATGTTCTAACTAGACAAAGTTCACTCAACTGGGTTTCTTAGGCTGACTGGAATAGTCTCAGGTGCCCCTTGCTGTGGACCCTGTCACGCATCCAGCCCAACATTGCAAACCACGTCAGTGGCAGTCAACCATCTCTGTTAGACACGATGCCTTTGCTATGAAGGGTCTTTCATGCCCTTGGGGAGAAATATTCTTTGCTCATACCAGACACCATTGCTTTAAAAAAAAAAGTATTATAACAACAGGACCCCTGCAATAAGTTCATATGTTCACTTTAAGCTAGCAAGCCCTGGTCTGCTCCATTGTGCTGAGTTGATTCATACGGAGAAGAGTCCAAGCTTGTGATCTAGTACAGCAGCTAATT